GTTTTGTTTCAGACTAGGTTATCTTTCTGTCTTTGGGTGTTCATTTTCCTTTGTCTGCCTCTTGACTAGCAAAAAAAAAAAAAAAATCCATGCTACTTCTTTTATCTTGCAAATACACAAGGTGGCCACATCTGTCCTTTTTGCTTTGACATATTCTTATCAATTCTTTGGACACTTATTTTTTTTTAAAAAAAAATCATTTTATTGGTGGCTCTAACAACTCTTACCACAATCCACATATCAATTGTATCAAGCACATTTGTACACGTTGCCTTCATCATTTTCAAAAATTTTCTTTTTGTTTGAGCCCTTGGTATCAGCTTCTCCCCCCCCCTCCCACCCTTATGGACCCCGATAAATTATAAATTATTATTATTTTCATATCTCACACCGCCCACTGTCTCCCTTCATCCACATTATTGTTGCTCATCCCCCTGGGGGTGGGGGTGCAACTTACTTTTAAACCAGACATTTTGGCCTTAACTTCCTTTGAGTTTCAGATCTGGGTTGCTGAGTTCTGTTTGCTTTTTGTAGCCTGGGGTCATGTGGATGGGAGCGTGGGAGATGTTTGTGGAACTCTTCCCTTTGAGGTCTCTTGAATGAGGGCTTGGGTTGGTTAATGAGGTGTCCTCAATTCGTGAATGTTAGCAAGTTTCCCAATTGAGTAAAGACTCCTGAAAGATGGTAGTTCTTCCTAACTCTTTGAAGATCCCTATTAGTCTATTAGTCTCCCAGGACTTTCTACTCAATTTGTTGGTCTGCTTCCCTCCAAATTGTTAGTTATCAATAAGAATGCTAAAGAAAAAAACTTTTTGTTAGATTTATTACTGGGGAGTCTCCATGACCTACAATCTGCTTACTCTTTTGTCAAAAATTATATCCTTCTTACATTGTTGCTGGTAAAATTTTGCTTTTTTTACAAAGGCAATTTTAAAAATAGTTATACTGATAATTTATTGATATTGATAGTTTTACTCACATATCATACAGTTCCACTGTTAAGTTGCCTTTTAAAAGAGTTGTACATGCATCCTCATAATCAGCTCTAGTAATCTCCCCTTTCCACATTCATTACTTGCTCCCCAATCCTCCCTGCCCCCATAAACCATTGCATCAGTTACAGTCTCTATGCATCCACTGCTTGTGTGCTTCATACACAGAGAACCCCAACAGGCACAATAAAAAGCAAAGACAAAATGAAACAAAGAAAAAAAGGAATAAAAAGATAAAAATAAAAATAAAGAGTAAGAAAGAAAAGATCACCAGCAACGTTTAAAAAAGCCAGAGAGGAAATTTTGGTGGTAGGAAAAGCAAGAAATATTTAAATCTAGAACAAACGCAGGTTGGATCAAGAGGGAAGTCAACTAGCCAGATATCATATTAGACCATCGTTTCATCCACTGTAATCAAATTTACAGTAATCAAAGCTGTTTTCTGTCACTCAGCGGAGGCCGGAGGGGATCTGCCAGAGGCTTCAGCTGACCAGAGACCCTGCAGTTGGATTTGGGGTCCCCACTGTCCTCCATAGTCTCTTACAAATTGGGTGTTGACAATTTAAACTCTGATTCTTTCCTCTTCATCATATTTGGATTTTGTTATTGTCATGTTTAGATCACACAGGCTGGGGTGCTTCTTCCATGTGGACTTAGTTGACTCCTCATTTAGATGGCTGCTCATTTGAATACGAGCATTTAAGACCCCAGACACTATTCTGACTAATAGCTGGGCACCATCTGCCTTCTTCACTGCACTTTGCTGTAGCACCCTTATCTTCAGTGATCTCTTCATGAAAGTGAGTATCAAGCAGTAAAAAAACAGTTTTTATTTAACCTTAGTAAAGTGTCAGAAGCAAGGGTCTTATTTATTTATTTTTAAACAGTTTTATTGGGACATAATCCACATATCATACAATTCAATAGTTTGATCATACTAAGAATTGTATAATAATTACCACAATCAATTTTAGAACATTTTTTTTCTTTCTTGTGCACGTTGTTATTGCCTCATTTCCCCCTATTCTCCCCTGCCATGTCCCCAAGAAACCATTAATCCAGTTATGATTAATAACTGGATCTACGCAGCTAGAATTCCATAGACAGAAAAACATACAACGACCCCCCCTAACAACAATAACAAAACAAAACAGAGAAAAGCCTTGATTTCAAAAGAAAGTAGAAAATATTAACAACTAGAACAAATTTTAAAAAGTCAAAAGGGAGATCAAATGATTTTCACTAGATTTTTGAAGCAGTTTGGAGGTAGCAAACCCCACTGTTTCCTTTGGCCTCGGGCTTCAGAATAAACTTAATCGTTTCTCAAATCAGTCTGGTCTTTGTCTGCAACAGTGACAGGCATTCCTGGATCCTTGAATTCTGGCAACAACACCAAGAACATCATTTATAAAGACAGCAAAAAGTTTTAAAAAGACAGGAAAGAAAGAAAACACACAAGTGGATGTCAGAGAGACCCTGGAAATTGCTCTTGAATGCAGAGCCGTGAAAGCCTAGGGAATGTTGAAGTCAAAGAGCTGAACATTAATTTCAAAAGGCAGCTCAAGAGGACAGAGTAGAGTACTGCGATGGAATGTACAAAGCCCTGGAGTTAGTATGCAAAAAAAGAAGAGCATGCACGTGGATAAAATGAAGGAAAACTTCAAGCCTTGAGTTGCAATATTGAATGATTCTATGGACAAAATATTGAAGGATGCAGGAAGCATCAAAGGGAGATGAAAAGAGCCCACAGGGTCACTGTATTAAGAAAAATTGGTCAATGTTCAACCATTTCAAGAGGTAGCATATGTTCAAAAACAGATGGTATTGAAGAAAGATGTTCAAGCGATACTGAAGCCATTCACCAAACACAAGGCTCCAATCGAATTGTTTTCACCAAGCTAATGGAGCACTGAAAACATGCCTTCATCGAGGTTAAGAGATCTGAACGGCGAATCAACTGGAAGAGATCCAGATTTGTGTCCATTCCAAAGAAAAGTGACTCAACAGAATGCAGAGATTATTGAATATCATATGCAAGCAACGTTTTTCAGGTATAACTGAAAAATAGCTGTAGCAGTACAACAGGGAACCATCAGAAATTCAAACCCATTCAGTAGAGGGCATGGAAGGAGACATATCATTGCTGATGGCGGATGGATCTTGGCTGAAAGCCGAGAATACCAGGAAGATGTTTACTGTGTCTTACTGACTGTGCAACATCATTCCACTGGGTGGAGCATAGCTAGAGGGATAAGGGGCAACACTGAGAAGAACGGGAATTCTAGAACATTTCATTGAATTCACGCAGACCCTACATGAACAAAGAGGCAGTCATTCTAAGAGAAAAAGGGAACACTGCTTGATCTGAAATAGCTCAATCTGTATGCTAAGCAAGTAAGATGAGGAGCCGGAACAAATGAAGGAGAACGTGGTGTCAGGAAGGCTTGTTCACAGCACTCAATGTGCAGACGCCACAACCTTGCTAGCTGAAAGCCAAGGGAACTTCAAACACAGAATGATGAAGATCAAAGACTACAGCCTGAAGGGTGAATTGCAGTTCATGTAAAGAAAACAAAATATCACAACTGGACCCCAAAGCAGCCTTATGATACATGAGAAAAAGACTGCAGTTATCAAGGATTTCATTTTATCAGAACCACAATCAACCCTCAAGAAATCAAATGACATATCGCACTATAAAACTCTGCTTCATAAAATCAACTATTAGAGTCAAAGAGCAAAGGTGTCACACTGAATACCAGGGCACAGCTGACTCAGTCCATGGTATTTTCACTTGCGTCACATGCTTATGAGAACTGGACAGTGAGGAAGGCAGACTGTGGAAGAACGGATGGTGTTGGTGCACAACACCGAAAGCTGCACGGACTTCCAGAAGAACAAACAGATCGATCTACTTTGGAAGAAGTACAGGCAGCGTGCTTCTTCGAATGGAGGAGGGTGAGACTTTGAGCATGTTATGTTCCAAGACCAGTCCCTGGAAAAGGACATCGTGCTTGACAAGGTAGGGGGTCAGCCAAACAACAGGAAGCCCCTCAGCGAGATGGGCTGACACAGTGGCTGAAAGATCCACATATAAGGGCTCAAACATAGCAACCGTTGTGAAGATGGCACAGGACTGGGAAGCGTTTCATTCTGTTGTACATAAGGTTGCTATAAGTTGGATCCTAACAACTGCTATTTTTAACAAGTAGTATGTTTTAACGGGGGACATCAAGTCACTGGGTGGAGCTCTACTATAATATCTGTCCATGATTCAAACCTAATCTTTGGGGACAACCTAAATTCTGCATTGTAACTTGCAGGAGCCCTGCTGGTTGTGCATTGGGCTGCTTACTGCCAATGGCAGCAGTTTAAAACTGCTCTGAGGGAGCTAGAGGAGGCCTTTTCCAGCCTTGTGAAGAGTTGCAGTCTTGGAAGCCCACAGGGAAGTTCTACTCCACTCCTTAGGGTCACCATGCGTTGAACTCAATGGCAGTGAGATTTGACTGAGACCTTGAGGTATTCTCAGGGGACCACTGGATTGCTAACCACGGGTTTTAGGTTCAACCTATCAGTAGTTCAGCAGGGTGAAGATGAGGCTATCTTCCTGGGTAAAGACCTGCAGTTTGGACACACTGTGGATGGACACGGTGGCGACAGCAGGGGGCTCAAGCAGGACATTTAGAGGACAGCACGGCGCTGGGCAGTGGCTTGTTCCGTTGTGCCAACTCAAGGGCACCTAACAGTGACACATGAGTTCTAATGGACTCAATGACGGCCAAGGACCCACGGCATAAACCTGCCCTTAAACAGAGATGGAGTTGAGAAACCAACACTGACAATGCTTTAATATTAGAAATGGAGAGGCTCCCCTCCACCCGTTAGTCATCTGGGGGAAACAGATCTGTTCTTGTTGGTGTCACTCCAGAATGTGTCTTATAAACGTTTTATTCTGTGTTGTATAAAGATAGGCCGAGCCTTACTGTTATTATCTAATAACAGGCTTACCTTGCGTCTTCTGCAGTAAATTTAAGGTTTTTTCCTCGAGCTCTTCAAGAATGACATCATCGTGGGGAATGCTCTCCAACAAGTGGAAGCGTTGGTTTTCTAAGTGAGGGACCTCGTGCATCACGACAGTAGATAAGAGTTGATCTTGTAACCCTTGGAACGTTACCGTGAAGTTGATCATAGTAACGAAGTTATAAACTGATGGAAGAAAGTGAGGATTGGCTATTTCCGTAGATATGTATAACCTAAAACACGAAAAAACCACCAGTTACTCTAGGAAAACATTTGCTTAATAATAGAAAATTTATCTTTCCTTGAAGTGTGCAGGGGTTACGGTAAATGTTATCCAGCCTTGCACACAAAGTAGGTTATCAATTTATATTATGTGAATACAGTTGCTATTTAATACTTTAAAAATGCAACCATAAATTTTGTTTATATATACTTGACCTATTTAATTATGCCCAAGTACAAAGCCAAAGACAAACGGTAAACAATCATTTTCAACCTGACACCTCTAGCCCTTATCTCGAGCAGAGCCTAGGGAGGTGAGGGGGCAAGGACCGAAGCAGGTTACAGGTGGTCAAACCGCATGGAACACTCCAGAGGGAGAGAGAATGGCGCCTGGCAGTTGTGCCATGCCAGGAAGACCCTCAAGCTGACGACTGCCCAATGGGCTGCAGCAGCACTGCGCTCCACAGAGCTTTCCCTAGCAGCATATTGGAAGCAGACTGCAGGCCTTTCAGCTGAGGTCCCTTTGGGTGGACTGGAGTCTCCAGCCTGTCCTGTAGGAGTCGGGCGGGTTAACCACCCGCACCCTGCAGCCCTCCTGTTGTTGTTAGTTGCCAGCAAGTGGACTCCAAGTCACAGAGACTTTAAGGATAACAGATCAAAACGTTGCCTGGCCCTGCATCATCTTCCCTGTCTGTGGCATGGTTTATAGTTCCATGTTGCAACCACGGTGCCAATCTGCCTCTTCAAAGGTCCGTCTCCCTCTTTCTCTTTGGATCTATCCTTCCCCAAACATAAAGTCTGCCTCTGGTGATAGCGCTTCCTTTTGTATTGTCATATAGCATTAACTCGCCCAAGCCGAGAGTCTTCACAACAGGAGGCAGTGCCTGTCATCTCAGCTTAGAGTACCGTACGTGTTCGAAACCTTCCTCGCTCGTTCCTGCTACCTTCTGCACCTTCTCTTCCATCCCTGTCCTTTCTGAACCCTTATTCTTTTGGGAAGACAGTTCTGTTGGCATGTAATTCGTATATCCTACAACTCAAGAGTCCGATCATTAAAAAGAGTCCTACAGTCACCACACAATCCAACTTAGAGCCCTGTCTTCTTTCTTGCACTCCTTTTATTGTTTAGTGCTTTCTAGAGATGAACATGAAACATGTAAGGTAGGCAATTTTTTGTTGTGATCCCTAAGGTTTTTAATGGATAATTTTTTGAACTAAGTCACCAGGTCTTTCTTCCTTGCCTACCTTAGTCTGGATGCTCCATGGAAACCCTTTTACCTTGAGTGAGTCTACTGGTATTTGAAATACCACTGGTGTAGCTTCCAGCACTGTAACATGTAAGCCACCACAGCATGCATGACACAGCAGCCCAAGAAAGCCGGGATGGTCTCTCACGTCCAAATAGCTTGCCAATGTGTCACATGGCCAGAAAGGGATCAGGAGGACACCAAATCTTCCTTCTGAAACAGTGCCCTTCACTTTTCTTGTTCTTTTTTCAAATCATTTTATTGGGGCTCATACAACTCTCATCACAATCCATCCATCCATCCATCGTGTCAAGCACGTTTGCACACATGTTGCCCTCATCATTCTAAAGACATGTTCTTTCTACTTGAGCTCTTGGTGTCAGCTCCTCATTTCCCCCCTCCCTAACTGCCCTGGCTGATTACCTACTGGCCCAGCCATTTTCTGATAAAGAGCAGACTTTCCCTTAGCCCTGCCCACAGGAAGAGTGTCCATGACCAGTCATTTTAAATGTCTTGTTCCTTTGGGAGAGATTCTGGTGGCAGCTAGGTCTTGACTATCGAAATGCTCTTTGCGAGGCTGGCTGATGGGAATCAGGGTCCAGAAAGCCTGCAGCTCCTGGGAAAATGGATACAATATTTCTCAGCTCTCCCTATGCAAAGGCTTATCTTTTTTGCTTTAGATAACAAACATGGATTTTTTTTTAAGCAGCAGAAACTATTCCTACCTCCTCTCCCTAAAATATGAGGCAACCATCTGGAACAGAGTTTTTCTGGGTGAAGGTGGGGCCAGTCCCCTCACCCCGAAGACTCTTGAGGGACCGCCTAACATTTCATGGGGCACAGCTGGGGAAATGCTGACCAGGAAGGACTTGCTGCATAACAATTCTACTCTTTGCTCTGCATACCAAATGTGATTAGCAGCCGAATATTAACAAGGGCCTTCAAATGCTCCCTCACCTTTTCCTTGCCAGGAGCCTAGATTGCACAAGTGCAGGATCCAAAGAGGGGGCCTTCGATGCCTTAAAAATACAGAGTTTACTCATTTCCACATGAGCTATTACCTGAATTCGGAGTTGTATTCAGTCTCAGAATCATTAATCCTTATGAAATATTGTCCTTTTTTCTTATAGATCGCCTTCCTTAAAATTGCCTTTAAACTCGGAGCTAACGTTTCAGGGAGATTCTGGAAAACAAAACCAAACCCAAGAGACAGCTCGGTTTCCAAAAGTCCCCGGAGTGACGTTTTGGAGTGACGTTTTGGTACGACAAGGGCGGTACAGTTGAAAAGAGACAGCATGGTGGGAACTTATAGCTCGTCACAAATCTGGACCCCAGCGAATGGCAGCTCTGAGAGAATTTAGCATGAATACTGCTTTCTTTATTATTTTTGCCCTTACAGTTATCTGTCTCTTAAGATGTATGTTCTTCGTGCTGGGCGCATGCACTGTACTCGTGAGCTGCGTGGACTCAGGGGTTGGGTGATATTGTTCAAATACCTGCAAGAGGACAGTCCCTCCTGTTTTCATAGCGTTTTCAATTTTCTTAATATAATTGCTGTCCTCAGTGGAGACCTCCTGTAGTCTGGCCCCTTCCATCTGACGGATCCAGTTATAGGCTTGCTTATGGGGGTCAATCAGCAGGGGCCACTGCTGGCCATTCTTGATCAGGATGGCGTTCTCTGCCGAATACTTACCCGGAGGCAGCCCCTGGTTATGCCACTGGAGGATCTGGAATGGAAATATCAGTGCTTGCACAAGTCCATGCGCTTCTTGACAGTGTGGACTGTCGGAAGAGATACTTTAGACAATGATGTATTTCCGAAAGGACAGAGAAAGTTAACAATGTAAAAGACCCCGCAGAGGGAAAAAAACCCCACTTTTTTTGGTCAGGTGAATAGGCCTTCAGTAAATTATATATATATATATATTATGCATCAGGCAGGATTTTTAGCATGTCCATTACAACAAAGCTGTTATGGGAGATAGAAATAAATAAATAATCCTAGTGATATACCCGTTTACAAGGACTTTAATGGAAAGAACAGGTGTACCTATGAGGGGGACTTTGAAAAGCTTGTGGACAAATGAAATGAAAAGACAATAGAATCTCCCCACAACGTTTCTAAAGCCCCCGGTACATTGTCCATGCAACAATGTAGACTCATGCAACGACATTGATGGCTGAGCTACGGAGCACTTACTATCTGCCCAGCACATAGACACCTTACCTATTTAAATTACTCTGACAACCTCCAGATTGAGATGAGGCACTGAGGTGAAAAGCAGTGAGCTGTTAGCTCTAACCTAACTACAATTCTTCGGGGGTGGCCCTGCTCCCTACTTCCATTTGGGAAAAGATTATGGAAGATGTGGATGCTATGACAAAGTGTGGGAAAGACAGCATACGGTGCCCGGCTATCAGAAAAAATAGAATCTAAGTGAGTTGTCAACGAAGGCCACATGGAAGCAGCACACCAGCCTATGTGATCCAAGGATGGTAGCTAATGAAATCCAAGGCCGGAGGACGGCCTTGTAGGAGAGCTTCAATTCCGAGTGCTCGCCTTGCAGAAGGCTTCGGATGACAGGGAACGCCCCAGATCCATATGCTGAGTCCCTTTGTGGGCGAAGCCTCCATTGAACTCCCTCTGAGTGTGCCGAGAGATGGGAATAGCCTTGCCTTCGGAGAGCGCTTTGGAAAGTGGATTGATGCAGCAAAGTTAGGTTTGAACATCGTATCATTTTTTTCTCTTTTGAACCACTTTAGATTTGTTCTTGTTTTTATCATTTCCTGCTTTCTTTCGGGTTGAGGTCTTTCTCTATTTTATTTTGCTGATGTTGGTGCGTTTTCTTAGGGTCATGGCAGGGGAGCTGGAGGGAAACGGAAGCTGATAATAATGAGCACAAGAATGAGGAAATGTTCTAAAAATAAAATAAAGTGGCTAGGGTCTTGCCTGGGACTATAAGGGCTTGATTCTGGTTTTCTTCAGCCTTGATATGCTTTTACTTCTTTACACGGCCTCTCTTTGCCTGCTTCTTCCTCCCAGTGGCAAAATCGGCACTTTGGGAGAAAAAGGCCAGAGAGACCCACAGACGGGGAGAGAAGAACATCAGGGAATATTCCTGCCAAAGGCAGCAGGGACCTCTCCAGGTGAAGGCAAGGTACATTAGGTATGCTTTTAGCTTCAGAACAGAGGAAAACATTTTCTGTTTAAGCTTAGGAGGAACTTCATGCTATCAAATTTAGCATAAAAGTTAATTATGATGATAAACCTTTGAAAACCCAAATCTTTCTGTTGACTGGAGTGTAGCCTGCATTTGAGTCAAGACAAAGAGGACAGGAGCTGGTATGATGAGAGAAATACACCCCGAGCTTAGTAGTTAATCAGCGTTGTCATTTTCAAATGTTAATCCATCTCCTGATCTTCATTTGTTTTGTCTTTATTGATCAACCTGGCTTTGTTTGTTTGAGCTTTAAGTCTTGCAAAACAAGTGACAATCAATGGCTTGTTCATCCTCCTCTGAGTGTGTGGTTACGTTCTTTGTGTGGCTGAGTTTGTTTTTGTTTTTATCATTTTATTGGGGGCTCATACAGCTCTATCACCATCCATCCATCCATCCATCCATCCATCGTGTCAAGCACATTTATACATTTGTTGCCCTCATCACTTCAAAACATTTGCCTTCTACTTGAGCCCTTGGTATCAGCTTCTCATTCCCCCCCTCTCCCCCTTCCCTCATAAACCCTTGGTAATTTATAAATTATGATTATTTTTTCATGTCTTACACTGACTGATGTCTCCCTTCACCCACTTTTATGTTGTCTGTCCTCCTGGGAAGGGTTATATGTGATCATTGTGATTGGTTTTCCCTTTTCTACACCCACTTGCCCCTTACCCTCCTGGTATGGCTACTCTCATTATTGGTCCCAAGGAGTTGATCTGTCCTGGATTCCTTGTGTTTCCAGCTCATATCTGTACCCATGTATATGCTCTGGTCTAGCCGATTTGTAAGGTAGAATTAGGGTCATGATAATGGGTGGGGAGGAAGCATTAAAGAACCAGAGGAAAAGTATATGTTTCATCGGTGCTATATTTCACCCTGCCTGGCCTGTCTTCTCCCCGTAACCCATCTGTAAGGGGATGTCCAATTGCCTACAGATTGGCTTTGGGCTTCTACTCTGCACTCCCCCACCATTCACATTGACATGATATTTTGTTCTGGGTCATTGATGCCTGATACCTGGTCCCATTGACACCTCATGATCACACAGGTTGGTGTGCTTCTTCCATGTGAGCTTTGTTGCTTCTCAGCTAGATGGCTGCTTTTTTATCTTCAAGCCTTTAAGACCCAGATGCTATATCTTTTGATAGCCCGGCACCATTAGCTTTCTTGACCTCATTTCCTTATGTACCCATTTTGTCTTCAGCAATCATGTCGGGAAGGTGTGCATCTCCGAATGCCAGATTATTAGAACAAAGTGTTCTTGCATTGAGGGAGTATTTGAGTAGAGGCCCAAATAGACAAGTATTTTTATAGATGCTTGCTTTTTTATAATTATTATCATCCCATTACACACACACACACACACACACACACACACACACATACACACAAAGTCTTATTATTCAAACAAATATAAGAACTGAATTAAATATTCCTGAGTCTAACATTCTATTCTTCCAGGCCTTTCTCCTTCCCTCCATCCTTAAGTCTGTTCCGTCTCTGGTAATGCCAGGTTTTCAGAGATGACCAACAGTAGTTATACTCACTGTGAATTTAGGAACGAGTGCTGGTCTAATGTCCTTCTGACTATCTGATGATCCCAAAGGCCTGCTGGGAAGCTTCTCTGGGGAGCTGAGTGGGGGTATCTTGGCAGTTTCTCTTAGCGTCGTGCTTTTGATCTGTGGATGGCTCTCCTTGAGACTCAGGTGCTGGCTGCTGCTCTCTCTGCCCATCAATCGCAGAGTCTGGACACAGAGGACCTTGGTCCTCAGGGAAATCAGCTGAGGGGAGCACACAGGTCTCTCCTCTGTTTTCCATCTCCCCTGGCTCATCCGGCTTTAACACATCGATGTCATTAGGGACCCTAAGGAGGCAGCTCTTCTCTAGTCGTGTTCTGAGCGTCTTCCAACCCAAGGGGCTCATCTTCCATCACGATATTTCACAGCGTTCCACGTTATGCTTCAGGATTTTGCAGTCCAAGTTTTTAGAAGTAAATGGTCAGATCCTTCTTTTTAGTGGGCCCTAATCTGAAGCTCTGCTGAAACCTATCTACCATGGATGGGTGACCCTGCTGGTAATTTAAATACCAGTGTCATAGTTTCCAGAATTGTGGGAACATGCAAGACACCACAGTATGACAGATAAGTGGTAGAGCTCATTATTAGAATTATGAAAATAAGAAGCCAGCACTTTTTTTGGAGGCTTATTGGTGGATGGTCAATGAAGCAGAGTTATCTGGGAGCTCTGGTGGCACAATGGATTGCACATTGCCTGCTAACCACAAGGTCGGGAGTTCCAAATCACCAGCTGCTTCTCAGGAGAAGGATGCAACTTCCTGCTCCTGTAAGCAGCGGCAGCTCTGGAAACCCACGGGGGCAGCTCTGGAAACCCACGGGGGGCAGCTCTGGAAACCCACGGGGGCAGCTCTGGAAACCCACGGGTGCAGTTCCGCCATGCCCTTTTGGCTTGCGATGAGCCACATCCAACTCGATGGCACTGAGCTGGGAGGTATTTTTTTGGATAATTTAGAGAATAAGTCTAAAATTACTCTTTGAAGAGTTAAAAAAGTATTCAATTGATTTTTTTAAAACTCCTCCCCAAAACAGCACAGGTGTCCCACAAGGGAAAGGCAATAAAAATCTGTTAAGTGTATAAATGAGAACTCTATATCTTTGACTATGTCTAAGAATACTCTCTGCAGTTTAGAAATTTTACTACATTTTTTCTTACTTTAAGAATTTCAGGGACAGAAATCAGGCATATTCATTGGATTACATTGGAAAAAATAATATAATGGCTTTTGCCCAGAGGATCAGAAACAGGAAAGATATATCAATCGAAACATTCAAAATATAGCTTTAAAAATTTAGGTCTAGAGCAAACCTCTATATTTTCACTTTTCAAGATAATCTGGGAAAGTATACAAATATCAAAATTTGCAAGCACCCAAAGTCCAAGTAAACAATAGGAGTCACCCAGCTGGATAATACAAATATGTTCCTACCTCATTTTTTTGTGTCATGACTTGGATTAATGAAAAGTTTGAAGACAAAGAAATGTTGTTTTCAGCGCATATAGTCTCCCATTTATTCACAATCAGCTGTCGAAATTCTGCTGTTAACACGCCACTGTAGACAATGCACGCTGCTGACAGAAGAATGTCACCCCAAATCCCCCTCAACTTCTTGTCAATTTGAGAGACTGTTTCCTGCCATCGAGTCTAAATTAGAAGATAAATTGAGTTATTGACATTTGATATAAAACATCAGACATATATTATGAGATGTTTAAAGGACGAATGGCTTCCAAGCAAGTTTAATCTGCTAATTGTTATTCCTAGTACTGTTCTCACATTGTAGTTGAATAACAATCAATAATGTATAATACTTTAAAATATTTGGTTTCTGCGGGGAACATTGTTCCCGTTCTTGGATTGGTCAATGGTGTCAATGTGCTAATATAGAGAACCATTTCAAATCCTTTGTCTGAAAAAGCAGGATGATTTTTAAAAAAAAAAGGATAATTAAAATGTTTAAAAAAAGATTTATTCTCCTTTGACTAGTGTTCCATCATAACAGCAACCAACAGAACTTGCTCTTACTTATTTGCTAGACATTTTACACGGAAAAGCTCATTTGATGTCTTCAATAGCTCTGCTAAGTAGATCCTATTAACTTCATTTTATTTTTTAAGGTTATTTTATTGGGGAGTCTTACAGCTCTTATAACAATCCGTGCATTACTGCATTTCAATACAAAGAAATCGAAGCTTAGAGAAGTTAAGCAACTTGCTCCAGATTACAAAGTCCTGAGAGGAGTTGCTGGGATTTGAACCCAGTTCTCCAGCCTCAGGCCCTGCTCTAAGTCAACGTGCTTCAACCAGGTATGTGCTTGAATGGTCAATGTCTAAAACACTTAAGTAAGGATTTTCTTCTGGAAGCTTAAAATCTGGCACAGTCCACTGTGGCTTGACATATAGGTGGCTCCCAGGGAGATCAGGCCACTTCTGAGAGCTGTGGTCTCCTTTTGACTGGTCTGATTTCATCACCGCCTCCTGTGCTGTTCAGGAGTCTGTAATGACATCTACTTAGTTAATCAAACCAAATAGAAATCACCTTGAAAATGTTGTCACATCCCTCGAGGAAGGTAAGGTGTGACTAAGTCCTGATTTTAGTGAGCTCCGTGTGGATTCAAGTATAGAGAAACACACAAACAAAACTCCCTGCCATCGTGTCGATACCAATTCATAGCGATGCTGTAGGGCAGGGTCGAACCGCCCCCTGCGGGTCTCTGAGACTGGAATGCTTAGGGGGTGGACAGACCTGACTTTCTCCCAGGAGGCAGCTGGAGGTCTCCGGCTACCAGCCTTGGGATTCTCAGCCCCGCGCGGAGCCCACTACTCACAAGGGCCGAGAAGGGGGGAATCAGAGGGGCGATAAAAAGAAGAAATAAAAGGGGTCGGAAGCTTGACAAGAGCCCATAAAGGTCTCTTTCTTCCACTGTTTTATACACTTAGCCGGGGGCACTCTATGCGTAGAAAGGGAAAACTTAGGGCGTATGCTTTGAGAGGTTTGCTCAGGGGCTCTATAGGAAAAAGAAAGGGCTGAGGGCTTATGAACAAAAAGAAAGAACTTCTCATCTTAATCCGTTATCTCTGTTTTAGGACTGCTTGACCGGGAGACATATATTTCATTCTATCTGATCGTAATAAGAAAGTGGAGAATCAGGTAGCTTTGGAAGGCATATGATGGAGCTTGCTGTGAAAACTGTCTTGTTGTTTTGCAGGCCAACGAAGGGAAGCCGTGCCTTTTCATCTTCCAGGGCAGTCAGTAGGACAGATGCACACTGCAAGCGCTTGGTGGCCAGTATTCTCCGATTGGCTAAGAGTCCTTTTTCGGCAACAATATCTTTGTAGGTTGCTTGTAAAGAGAGCAGATGTTCTTCAACCTGAAAGACAATTAATTTGTTATCGAGACAATCTTTTACTCCCATTTTGCCCTGAGAGTACAATGTCACTTATAAAAAGTGTATAACGACTTCATTTTTATATCCTGAAAATATCCTCCTGGGACTATGGAATCTCTTACAATAAAAAAGTACATTCTAGTTGTTAGACCACTCCTCAATATTAAAGTTTGTTTATAAAAAAGTGTGATCTTTCTTCCCCAACAGGCCTTCCTGTAGACTTGAGCAATTGGAGATTCATCATTTTCTGACTTTTTTTTTTTTTTAATTAATCAATTTATTGGGGCTCATACAATTTATCACAATACATAGATCAATTGTGTAAAGCACATCTATACATTTGTTGCCCTCATCATTCCCAAAATTCTCTTTTTTAACACAGAAAACTGTATCTTGTCTAAGTCCTTTATTTAAGAAATTAGGTGAGCTTTTAAACCTCAGATACACTGAGCAGACTAGAGGAAGGGGTAAGTTTTGCAGTTTGGCTGGTAGAATGAAGGGATGGTGAAATTACCCCTTGGCTGTCACCAGACAACAGTTATTTTCATAATTAACTGATGAGAAGATGTTCTTCAATTTTCATGTACCTTGGTAATGCTTCTGCTTAAAAACATTTGGTGAACTCTAAAAGAACTACTTGCCTAAGGAGACATTTAAAATGTTATTCCTGTCAATAAAAACATCCCTGATCTACTCGCAACCTTCTCTCCTAATTCATTTTCTATGTTCCTTCTTTGCCATAATATTACACTTCAGCCAGATTAGTTTGCTGGAGATTTCCGACACATTCCTTAACTTTTCTTACCTCTGGGAGTTGATCCTTCCCTGGGGCCTGCATGGGCCTCTTTCCTTAAAGGAATGCAAATCCCAGGCGCCCTTTAAAATCTTGTTCCACATCTAGCTGGCACGAAGCCTCAGCCTGGCCAAATCTACACAGCTGCACTGTTAATAAGAATTGTCTGGACAGTATAAATAAATTGCTTACCTTTCATATTTGAGTTTTATTGTCTTAGTAACCCTTTCATTGTTATTTATATTTTGTAAGATTTTCAGATCGGTTCAAAATCTTTCAAGGCAGCATTTAACATGGAGATTTGAACATGGTACGCATTTACTCTTGTATGTTCAAAATTCTGTTTATTGAATACTATTTTTAATTTTAAAATTTCCATTCTATATAGGCGTAATATGCTACCGTGGTGAAAATAACCATTTTTTACCACAAACTATGCCCAGTGCCATACTTTCATTATTTCATATTCACTCCCTGTTCATCTGCAGTAATTACTGAATTGTTTGTGCTTTTATATATGATAATCATTTGTGTCTATTTGCCCACCCCCTCTATTAATTATTTCAAAGAAATCCCCCTTCCTTGATACTTATGCTCTTATATATTTTAAGATATTAACATGTAAGGGCTATTGATTTAATTAAGCAAATGAAATGGCTATTTTCTCAAGGTAATATTTTCGATGTTCATATGACCCGGTGTGTTAGTCTGGGTTGACTAGAGAAACACATTCATAGACACTCATAGGTGTGTAAGAGAGAGCTTTATATCAAAGAGCAATTGTATATTAAGAAAACCTCCTAGCCCAATCCAGATCAAGTCCATAAGTCCGGTATTAGCCCATATGTTTGATACCAATTTATAATTTCCTCTTCAGACTCACACAACACATGCAATGACTCTGAATGCAGGAAGATCACAGGACTGTGGGTGGAAAGTATTGTGGATCCAGTGGCAGTGGAAGCTTCTCAGCGGGGTCTCCAGGTGGCTCTTTCAGCTCGAGGGCTCTAGTGTAGCTCTGCGTGTCTTATCAACAGGAATGTCTTGCAGGGAGTGAGTGAGTGTCCTACCTCCAGTGAGCCATTTATCTCCTTAGTGCCTCCAAATGAGGTCATCAGGCCTGATTGACAGGCTAAACTCCACCCCTTCATTCTTCATACTCTCAAATTGACAACGTATTGCGTAATCACCACAACCAATATATTCCGGTATTATTTCTTTCCTCCCAAGTTCCCTAGATTTTTCAGAAATATTTTTTTATGTTTGGACCCAAGTATGCAAAAGACAATTTTAAAAGTAGAAGAGAATCCGCATATGAGTGGTACACACACAATGGAATACGATTCAGCCATTAAAGGAACGGAGTCCTGATCCATGCTGCGACATGAGTGACTCTGGAAAGCAGCATGCTGAGAGAAGAAGTCACTCACAAATGGGACATGATTGTACTTGTATGGAACATTTAGAATAGGCAAGTCGATGCAGACCAAAATTGATGAGAAGTTACCAATGGGGAAAGAAGCACTCATTTTGTGGGGAACACTAAGCTTCTGTTAAGGGTTATGTGTGCACAATATGATGAACACAGTATCATTGAGTTGCACCTATGAAGAATGTTGAAATTGCAAATGTTATATTACATGTTTATTTACTATAATAAAATAAGTATTATAAAAAGTACTAAAATCTTATTGGGATCTATCTTTAATAAGTTAGATATTCAAATCATATTGACCTCTTTTTGTTCTGTGCCATCCAATAAAAATGTCATGCAAACCACATACATAATTTTATATTTTCTGGTCTCACTGCCATCAAGTCCATTTGGACTTATAGCAACCCTATAGAACAGGGTAGAACTGCCCTTGTGGGTTTCAGAGACAATCACTCTTTAGGGGAGTAGACAGCCTGTCTCTCTCCTGTGGAGCAGAGGATGCTTTCAAACTGCTGGCAATTAACTTTAAGAATATATTTTAAAATATATGCAAACCTGTTATCATTTTCATAGGTAATCAAAACTTACTGAGGTAGCTCATATTCTTAAAAAAAAAAAACCCTACATATTAAGCCATTGAAATTCTATGAGTACTTTACCCTTGCAGCACATCTCATTTGAATTAGTCACACCGAGCTACAATGTGCTCAATAACCATGTGTGACCAGTGGGTGCCATATTAGACAGTGCAACTCTACACAGTCACCTGGGTGAGTCATCCACTCAGTATAGTAGCTCCCACCTATGTGCTGATTCCTCAAACTTTCATGTTAATTTCATCGCCTCACTTATTAAATAACTTAATCATCCTTCCTTGACTAGAGATGGGCTAGGGTCCTGTAAGTGTGGGTTGAGGAAGTGGGGGAATGTAGCCGAGCTTGAAACTATACTGCTGTGAAATGAGATGTCATAGGTGGAAGAAAGTAATAAAAACAAATTCCAGCATGGTTGTGTGGGCTGCCTGTTCAGGACTACAGAATGTGTCAGACTAGAAGTACGTTCCTAATATTGAATAGTCGGGTTCAGTTTGAAAGGAAGTCAGAAGGCAGGTGTCAGAAAGCAGATGACAGCCTTGAACACACCATTCTCTGTGGATAGAAAGAGGACATGCAGGCAGAAACAGAGCATCAAGTAAGTTGGTAAACGATGGAAACAGAGAGGCCTTCTTGGAACAACAGAGAAATCCTTAGGTTGTTTTTTGTCTGCCTTCTCCTCACTTTTAATATTCTTCTAAGTGAGCCCCTTCCCCGTTACTCATGATATTAATTTTTGCCCTCCAACCCCTGCTGCAGGGGTTCAAATGTGATTCAGACTGGCCAACCAAAATGCCCTATGTAGCCAACCTAGAATTCTTTCATTTGCGCTTGGAAGACTCCAGGGCCTGTGGTTGGGAGGCTCTAAGTTGATGCCAGTTAAAGTCTTTACCAAACTAAAAACCACAAAAACAAACAAAGCTCCCTGCCCTCATGTCGATTCTGAGTCACAGTGCCCCTGAAGGAGGGGCAGAGCTGCTCCGGTGGATTTCCAGGTCCCAGCTTTCTCGGAGGAGGGGCTGGTAGAGCTGCTCTGTGGTTAGCAGCTCCACTTGTCACCCACGGCGTCACCGAGGCTCGTAATGCATCATTAGAAGATCTAAACTATGCTCATCCCGCACGCTAGGCTGCTTAGCAAATGTGAAAACTTAGAATACAAAGGCCTCTTTAACAACCGTTTTAGAGCAGCTCATAAAGGCATCAAGAGTTAACAAACAAAAATAGGTCTTACCATCATTAAACCTCTTTGTTTCTCAGCCAAACTTTGTCGTGCGATTTTAAGGACATTTTGAGCTTCAGTCACTTGGATTTGCTTAGGGCCCATCACCTGAAAAAGAATGTCATCACATTTATTTGAACAAAACCAGCGTCACTATTAAAAATGACACGCTTGGAAGAAAGGTCTTAAATGTTCTTAAGCTATTGAGATAAAAGGAATATGGACTAGCCTCTGTATGGGAGAAAATAGAGAAAAACAAATAAAACACTGGCTGGTTGTCCTAAATGAAAACATTAAACATCTGGCATGTGTATAAATTAGCACGATGCTTGAGTCCAGCGGTTTTCATTGAGTATTGTTTTCCCAGAAGTTCATTTGGGCCTGGTCCAATCAAAGCCGTTTCTGGGAATTCGCTGGGCCGTTTTCAATCCTGGCATTTCTCGGGGGAACAGCGTACCTTTTGCACCTCGTGGTAGTTGTTCAACGCTATCACCCACTGGCACATGGAGCAACAAGCTAGAGAAACTAGAGCAATCTTGCTTGGGTTGAAATCAGGCAAGTTTATGATTTTTTTCAGCTTCAGGAAAGCCTAGAGAGAACATAGTCCATGCATTACAAGAGCAAGAACGAGTAGGGATCAGAAGTTTGCTCTCATCGCTGCTAGAAGGAAATTTCATTTCATGGAAGAAATGCCACCGTCTTCACAACCATGGGCTCCAAGATATTTACCTGAGTACCCAATGGGCCTGGCACCAGCACATTGGTTTTTCTTCTAAAGGTAGGGAAAAGTCTCTAATGAACACATGGGGTTGTCACTATGGTTATAAGGGTTCGATCATAGTTTTACTAAAGGAATAAACAATACAACAGAAGCAGAAAACCAAACCCAAACGAAAACCCAGGTCAGCTTTCTCCCATGTTGGTGAACTGGAGACTAAAGAGGCCTGACATCAGTGCACCTTAGCTGTGAGGCGATGGGAACATCATCTCGGATTCCGGCCCTACCCACTCCCCTCCACAAGCCACCGAGAGGAGCAGTGGCAGAGCCCATTCCTGCTCAAGGTCTGTGGAGTCGGTGAGGATGGATGACTTGTGGCTGGCTGAGACGGAGAGGCTCACTCACTCAGCTGTGGCACACGTTCATGGGCCCCCCACCTTGTGAAAGTGGCGCAGGACTGGGCGGGGGTTTCATTCTGTTGTGCACAGGGTCGCCTGACAGCAGCTCAGAAATGGATTTGCAATGCAGCTGCCTTTAGGAGCTGTAATCAGAATGAAGTCTTTGTCAGACGGAGAGGCCCTTTCCCTTTCTAATCCGGCACTTCCCCCTTTGCCTGGAAGGATGGAATTCGTTGGCAGAATTATTTTGATGATATGCGCTCCATTCTCAATTTATTGTCGGTGTTGTTATCAATTTAATATGTGCTTATGCTTTTTGTTTACCTATATTTCTTCGGAGGAGAAATTTTCATTATTAATTTATTTATTTTGCTGTTGTCGAGGAGCTATCGGTTATTGCTAGTTTCAAAAGAGCAGGGGGGCTCATGAGGGAGGGGGGAGTGGGGAGGGAGGGGAAAAATGAGGACCTAATGCCAGGGGTTTAAGTGGAGAGAAAATGTTTTGAGAATGATGAGGGCAATGAATGTACAAATGTGCTTTACACAATTGATGTGTGTATGAATTGTGATAAGAGTTGTATGAGCCCCTAATAAAATGATTTAAAAAAAAAAAAGAAAAGAGCAGGGGGTTGGATTTGTTAAGGATGACCCAGAGAGTGAGCAGTTGTCACATTAATTCATAAGTACCATGCACATAACATATCACTATGTGCATGTAAGCTGGTTGCTCATGTATATTCCCGTACTTCCATACAGCATTGATAATTATTGTGACTGATTAATTTAATGGTATAGTAAGTTATTTAGTGTGTGTCTTCCCTGTTATAACATAAGCATTATAATATCAAAGAATGCTGCAGTTGTAAATGATTTTATCCCAGAACCTACCTAAATTCTCAGAAATCCCAATCACGGTCTGGGGAAGACCGCCCTCTCTGGATTCTCCAGAGAATCTGTTCCCGGGGCCTCCAGCTTCTTCCTTTGTTTGGTTTGAGATGAACTTGGTTGTCACTAAAGACTCCAAGGTCATTTCAATTTTACTTTTCCTCCTCTTTTTTTAAAGCTACTCAGATCATTATTTAGGTCTGAGGGATATGAAATCCGGAGGGATTTTCTAAAAAAAGAAACATACTGTACACACACACACACACACACACACACACACACACACTTCATCTTAAGAAACAAAATTAACAATAACATTCCATTAAACCTTCCATAGATGTGATTCTCTCTCCCTCTGCCCTTCCTCCCTCCTCAATAACCAGTCCCCCCCTCTCTCTGTTCCTGCCTCTGTCCATGCCTACCTCGTAGTCATCAAAGTCATGTCTATCGGTGTAAAAACATTTTGTTTTCTTTGGTTGCCTTGTAACAATGGTGTAATTCAGTGTTTATCTTTGTGAGATTGACGGGGCTGGTTGAGCATTATGTTCTCCAGCTCTGTTCATGGGTTTTGGGTTGTCATTGTTTCTAATTGATGATTAATATTCCTTAGTATGAATGTACCAGAGCTTGTTTGTCTATTCCTTTAGAATTGGGGGTTTTGGTTGTTTCCATATTTTTGCTATTATGGAAATTGCTGCAACTAAGGTAGGTGTGCATATGTCTGTTCATGCTGTGTTCTTGAGTTTTTGAGGGTTTATACTCAGTAGAGAGATTGCTGATCAAAGGTACTTGTATTTACATTTGTTTCAGGAAGTGCCATGCAGATTTCCATAGAGGCTGTCCAATTCTACAGTCCCGCCAGCAATGTAAAAGCATTCTGATCTCTCTATATCCTTTCGAGGATTTATGATTTTGTTTTATTGAATTTTGCTGAAAGTGTTGGTGTGAGGTGGTATCTTATTGTTGTTTTAATTTATATTTGTTTTATTACTAATGATCTCAAACATATCTTCATATGGTTGTTGGCAACCTGTATGCCATCTCTGGTAAATTGTCTATTTGTGTTCGTGGGCATTTTCTTATTGGGTTATTTGTATTTTTCTTGTTAAGATGTTATAGTTTTCTATAGATTTTGTAGTTATCTATAGACTATTTCTATTCACATTCAAGGAAATCCAATCAACACAACTATCATTCAAATTTATGTACTACCCACAAAAGTTAGTGATAAAGAAATAGGAGAATTTTACCCAGTCAGAAAGTGATCAAATATGCAATAAAAATGCATGGGTAATTTTTGGTGATTGGAATGTAAATGTTGGAAACAGAGGAAGGAACAGTGGTTAGAAAATATGGATTTGGCAATAGAAATGAAGCTGGAGATCGCATGATAGAATTTGGCAAGACCAACAACTTGCCTATAACAAATACCTTTTTCAACAATACAAAGGTGTCTACACACATGGATTTCTCCAGATGGAATACACAGAATCAAATTGATGCCTCTGTAGGAAGACACGATGGAGAAGCTAACAGCGGGCCAGTGGCTGACAAAGGAACAGGCCATGAACTGCTCATATGTAAGTTCAGGATCGAGCTGAAGAAGAGTAAAACAAGTCCAGGAACAGAGTTGTTGTATTGAACACTAATGATAGAAGAGCTGATGATCTGTGTGATGATTTCAAGAACATCACAAACAACAAGAATAAAGGCAGGGCAGAAAAAGAAGATCAAAGTGGATGTCAGAAGAGACTCCAAAACGTGCTCTTACTCATTCAATAGCTAAGGAAAATAGAAGAAAGAAGGAAGTCAAAGAGCTGAATAGGAAATTTCAAAGGACAGCCCGAGAGGACAAAGCCAAATACTGTAGTGGGATGTACAAAGAGCTAGAGTTAGAAAACCAAAAAGTAAGAATGCTCAACAGATCTTAAACTGAAGAACTCAAGAAAAAATTCAAGCCTCAAGGTGCAATATTGAAAGCTTCTATGGGAAAAGCATTAAATTATGCAGGAGGTCTTAAAAGAAGATGGAAAGAACACATAGCGCCACTGTCCCAAAAAGAATTAAGCAGCAACGTAGTATCTCAGAGGACGCATACGAGCAAGAACCAATGATGCTCATGGAAGACCTTCGAGCTGCATTGAAAGCATTCGGTGAAGACAAAGGTTTCAGGAGTTGACGGATTGCCAGTGCAGTGTTTCAACAGCCTGAGGAAGCAGTGGAAGCACTCACTTGTCTGTGCCAGGAAATTTGGAAGACAGCTACTTGGCCAACTGATTGGAAGAGATCCACATTTATATTCTTTTGAAAGACAGATGACTCACACTATAGAATAATTATCATTGATATCACATGAGTAAAATGTTGCTGAAGATCACCCACAAATGGTTGCAGCAGTACATTGACAGGATTCAGGTTGGATTCAGAAGAGGATGTGGACAAAGGGATGTCATTGCTGCTGTCGGATGGATCTTGGCTTACAGCAGAGAGTACCAGAAAGATGTTTACTTGTGTTTTACTGACTATGCCAAGTCATTCAACTATGTGGATCATAACAAACTATGGATAGCCTTGAGAAGAATGGGAATTCCAGAACACTTCGTTATACTCAAGCAGAACCTGTACATGGATCAAGAGGCAGTTGTGCAAACAGAACAAAGGAATCTTTCATGATTTAAAATCAGGAAAGGTGTGTGTCAGGGTTGTATCCTCACTCACCATCCTTATTCAATCTGTACGCTGGGCAAATCAGCAGAGAAGCCGGCTTATATGAAGAGTGCGACATCAAGATTGGAGGAAGGCGTATTGACAATATGTGATCTGCAGATGACACAACTTGCTTGCTGAAAGAGAGGAGGACTTGAAAGACTTGCTTGTGAAGATCAAGGCTTGCAGCCTTCAGTGTGGATTCCAACTCTACACCAAGAAGACCAGAATCCTCACCACTGGATCAATAGGTAACGTCATGATAAATGGAGCAAAGTTTGAAGTTGGCAAGGATTTTGTCTTGCTTGGATCCATAATCCATGCTCATGGAAGCAGCAGTCAAGAGATCAAAAGATGAGTTGCCTTAGATAAATCTGCTGCCCAAGACATCGTTAGAGTATTGAAAACCAAGGCTGTTGCTTTGAGGACTAAGGTGTGCCTGACCCAAGCCGTGGTATTTTCAGTCGTCTCACAGGTATGTGAAAGTTGGACATTGAATGAGGAAGACTGAAGAAGAAGTGATGCATTTGAATTGTGGTGCTGGAGACGAATATTGAAAGTCCCACGGACTGTTAACTGGACAAACCAATCTGTCTTGGAAGAGGTATACCCAGAGTGCTCCTTAAAGGCACGGAGGGTAAGACTTCATCTTACATGCTTTGGACAAGCTGTCAGGAGAGATAAGTCCTTGGAGCACATCATGCTTGGTAAAGTAGAGGGGCAGTGAAGAAGAGGAAGTGCCTCAAAGAGATGAGTGACCCTGTGCTTGTAACCCTGGGCTCAGGCACAGGCACATGAGCGGATGGGGCAGGACAGGCAGTGCTTCCTCTCGTCGTGGGTGGGGCCACTAGGGGGTTGAATGGGCTCAATGGCACCTAACAGGAGAGATTTTGGAGACTGATCCATTATCTGATGTATTATTATCGAATATTTTTCCAATCTATGGATTCCCCGCTGACTCTTTTGATGTGTATAAATGTCATATTTTTAGTATGTCCTAATTATTTTTCTCCTATAGTGTGGGTATTTTCCATTATGTTTGGTAGTGTGTTTATGACTTGTATTAGGGTCCTTAACTTTGTTCCTATTTTTCACTGATGGTATTCATAACTGTGTGATTTATATTTTATAAATACTTAACTATTTATATATTACATCTTGAGTTCATTTGGTACATGGTGTGAGGTATTGGTCCTGTTTAATTCTTTTGCAGGTGAAGATGCAGTTTTTCCAGCACTATTTGGTAAAAAGGTTCTCGCTTGCCCATTTAATGAGTTTTAGTCCTTTATAAAAAATTAGGTGTCTTCAGTGTGGGAATTACACCCATTCTGATCCCACCACACCGAGGCAAAGCACTGGGGGAGTGCAGCAGAACAGCAAGGGAATGAGGCACCAAGGTCCCCAGGGAATGCTGAAGGCAGACTTTGGGGCCAGGGAGTGGTGCCCCAACAGACTGGACTGGAAAACACTCCTAAAGGCCAACAATCCTTGAACTAACTTCAAGCTTTTCTTTCTTGTTGTGTTTTAATTTGTTCTTTGCCAGTGGTTTGTTGTTGTTGCTGTTTTGTTGTACATTGTTGCTTGGTTTTGTTCTGTCGTGTTTTTGTGCATGTTATTATCTCCACAGGTCTGTTTAAGTAAGATAGGCTGGATGAACAATATGGAGGAGAAAACAACGGGACTGACAGTTCTGGGGGGACATGGTAGAGGGGGAGATGGGGGGAAAGGAAGTGGTGTTAACAAACCCAGGGACAAGGGAACAACAAGTGATCCAAATTGGTGGTGAGG